AGCATAGAAAGGGAAGTAAAAAAGAGTTTTTTTTAATTAATTAATTTTATTTTAAAATAAATTTTATATTATAATAATAATAATAAAAATAATAATTTAAAAATTCTTTTATTTTTAATTTTTTCTTTATTTTTACTAAATTATAATTTAATAACTAATTATTTAAATTAAATAAAAATTTAAAATTTAATATTTAATATTTTAAAAAAAGTATGTAATTATAAATTAGCTTTTTATATTTTTTAAGTAAAAAAATTTTTTAAAAAAATTATAAAATTATATTTATATACTATTTAAAAATTAAAAAAATTTTTTATAATCTATTTTATAATTTAATTTTTAATAATTTTATTAATATAAAATAATAATATTATTTAAATTAATTTATAAATGAATATAAATATTTTTTCAATATATATAATATTTAAAATTTAAATTATCATATTTAATAATTTTATATTCATTTGTTAATAAAAATTTGAAATTAAAAATTGTTATTTTTTGTAATTATTGTATATTTCAAATAAAAAATATTTTATAAAATAAATTTTATTTATAAATTATAAATATAATTTTTATTTTTTATATTAAAATAAATTAATTTTTATTATATAACCAAGAATTACGTATATATACTGTAAGTAATAAAATGTGTTATCAAAATTATTATTATTTAAAATCACAAAAATTATTATGATTGAATAGTATTTGATTTCTAAATTTATTAATATTATAAAATTGAACAAGTTTAATTTTGTTTATATGTTTATATCGTCATTTATTTTGTAAATCTTGACCATTGAATATCCACATTTACCATCTGAAGATCCTCTTATTATTCTCAAACAGTAATGGACATAATAATAAACTATTTTTGTAGGACAAAATAACGAACAATGAAATGAGAAATAAATACAATGAGTACACAGTCAGAGATTACTTACAAAAATCACATCTTGTGATAATTTCGAGCTTGAGTAAATAGGAAATGTTACAATTTTTGTTGTGACAAAATCGGGGCATTGACTACATTTCCCGGTAATCGCCACTTATTTTCATAAATCTTCTTCCCTCTCGGGACGTTTTTTTGAAAAAAAGCCAAATGAGTTCCTTGTCTGACTCTATTTCGTTCTCTATTTCGACACCGTCAAATTCTTTGCCGGCAAGTTACTCTCAGCGGGAATCTTTGATTTTTGACGATTCGTTGAGTCATAAAAACCTTATCTGCCCAATATGCAATGAAAGCATGATCAATCTTCTTCAACTTAATCAGCACTTGGATGATGTTCACACCGAAACTACCATTGAACATAAAGACAGCACTATGAAATGGGTTAAAAACGCTCAAACAACCATTATGAAACCACTTTCCAAAACAAAAAAACTTTTCGACCAATTTGTCGCAAATGTCACAAATGGCTATTCACAGGTTGAATGATCACGAAGCAAGCACGTTGGATCAACAGTCCGAATTTGTGACAAGGGATCATTGGCAAAAAGAAGGGGACAATGATCAATGTTCATATTCTTCTTGCGAGAAAACATTGAATTTGAGAAATGGAAAGAATAACTGTCGAAAGTAGATATCAATTGTCTTTCGTTTTCCTATTCTTTCCTAAGCATATCCTGATTGTGTGATTATGTAATTTGTTATAGATGTGGTAAGCTCTTTTGCGACACACATTGCCATGTTTCAATGAAGTTGAACAAGCAAGCACAGCACGATCCTGTTAACGGCTATTGGTGTAGAGTATGCGAAGATTGTTTTAAATCTCGAGATGGTTATTTGGATACAGAAGGTAGTTCAATGTCATATATATATATACTTTTAATGACCTTTTTTGGCCGTCAAATGAATACAATGGACTGATGTTTGTAAATATCATTAGGTGTGGCCCGAAGTCATTCGACGACGTTCACCAAATTACGAACCAAGGGAATTGAAAGGGCGCATCTGGAAGGTAATCGGTTAGAGAAGCGCCTGGAAAAGGTATTCAATAGCGACACTGATTATTATCCGAAACATTGTTGTTAACATTCATCGTTCTTTGTCTTTTGTAGCTTGCAAAGGTGTACGCCACTCAAACGAAACAAGCTAATAACACACAGGGTGGATTAAAACCTCCGTTGACTCTGAAACATCGAAGGAGAGGTATTAAGCTGAATTTCATTCGGATTGTTCGCTCAAAAAGGAAACGTGATTTTGTGCCTTCACTAATTGATTTGACAAACTTGCTTTTTGCAGCTTCAGAGCAGCTAATCGTCAAATGGGAAGACGATGCATCTGTGACAAATTGTCCTCTGTGTGGGTATGTGATTTGTTTGTAAGTTAGATTTTGAATCGTATTATGAAGTTTAACCGCGTAATCATAATCTATGTTCAGAACCCTCTTTGGAAAAATCACAAATCGTAAACATCACTGTCGCCTTTGTGGACGTGTCGTTTGTGAGAAGTGTTCCTCAAAAATTTCTTTGAACCCGAACGGCAATTATTCAGGTATGATTTCTTCTTCCGTAATTTACCGTATTCCGTGTCAGGGACTAATTTGCCCTGAATTACAGAAACGCCGGAACAGGATTCTGTCGGTGAAGTCAGAACGTGCAAAGAGTGTCGTAATGCGGTCTTTAGGTAAATAAGAAAAATATGTTCTGTTGTCCGCCAATTGTATTGTTAATTCATCGATTTTCTAACAGAAGAAAAGAATATAACGAAGAAACTGCAAAGACACCACCTGTTGTCATGCTATATCAGGTGGACTTTGACTAATTTTTTTCTTGCAAACCATAGTTACTTAATGATGAATTGGTCTAATTATTTATTCTTTGATTGGTAAAGAAATTGTCGAAAATCAGATCCGCAATTGACTCCACATTACCCAAATTTCAAGACATGCTTGTCATGTTAAAGTTGCATGTCGTTTCATATATATTTTTTTCTCCTTTGATTCTTCCTTTTCTGAACTAATTAAATTCGAATAATGGTTTATTTGTTTTTTTAGGAGTCAAGAGATAATCAATCAGACGCATGCAGATTATCAGGTTGCGGCGCGTACTCGCAAAGAACTGTTGGAAAATTTTGCCCAATTCGATGCAATTAGCAAAAAAATCAATTCCTTGCTCGTACGGTCAGAATCC